AGACCCGAAATAGTTTGAATCCACCTTCCGCGCCTCCTGCACAGCCACTGCAGCAAATCGCACTTTGAGTTCTTCTTTCTGTTTTTTTGGCCTTGTCGTTTTCGTCATGCAAGAGCCATTCGCCGCCACCGTTGATTCTTTCGCTTCTACCTCATCCATTGGAACACAGTCGGGAATATCATCACCATCATCATCATCATCATCGTGATCACCATCGCATCCAGCCACTCCCTTTGCCCGCCGCCGCCGCCGCGCATGGGAGCTCGAGGGTGAGGTCCCCATCCCGATCCCGATCCCACTTGATGGACCGCTCTTGGCAGCAGTGCAAATGCCACCTTTCACGTCGACAGCACCGTTGGCAACGACCCCATCATGCAGAGCCGCGGCACACGGTCCCTGATGGGGTTCGATGCCTGATCCGATGGCTACGTCGTTTTGGCACTTCTTCTTCTCCAAGGGCAGGGGAGGGGCGGGGCTCGATCCGTTATCCTCCCCTCCCCCTCCCCCAGGTTGGTGGTAATAATCATCCTTGGGAGCTGGAGCCGCCAATTGAACAGAGTTTCGCTGGGGTTTAGAACCCACGATTTCGTTACTTAGGCGCCCGCCGTTGATCTCATCGCGCAAGGCGACAAGACATTCTACCAAATCGGGATCCGCATCCACTGCCACGTCACCATCAATCAACGACCAGGAACGGTTTGCAATCACCAATCCATCTTGACCCTCGGGTGCAGCAGCACAAGCACGACGACCTGAATGCCCTCCTCCTCTTTCGTTCCTCTGCTGACTTCCATCACCAGTAGTACTCCCTCTTTCCCCTTCTTCTTCTTCTTCTTCTTCTTCTTTATGAACCTCCTCCTCCTCCTCCTCCTCCTCCTCCTCTAAACTGAACAAAAGCGGATCGTTCTCCAAAACCGGAATCAAGTATTTATCATCATGCCAAGCACTGACTATCCTCCCTTGCTCATCATCAGCATCACCCCCATCTGAAAGCCGGAAATGACCTTCCTGTTCCATGTGATCGAAGAGCATCAGCCGAGAAGAAAAGGGCCCGTTGCAGTAAATGCATCGTTTTGCAGCGACCTGTGAGTCAATAAAATAAAATACATATAATTAATTATTATTAGTATAACATATTCCATCATGGCATCATCGAGTTAAAAAAAAAAAAAAAAAAAGCAAAAAAAAAAAATCCGAGATAACCAAATGCAGTTTTTTTAGGGTTTTAGAAACAGCAGCATGCCTACGTACATACGTACGTTCTTCCGCTCCACGACACATCACCGCCTCTTTTTTTTTTTTTTTCTACCAGCTCTTTTTTTTTTCTACCACCTCATTTTTCGAAAAATCCAGGAAAAAGAAAAACGTGTATGTCCCCCTAGGTAGCTCCGTCATCATCACAAAGTTACCTCATTTTTGGGACGTCAAGGAAAAAAAAAGAAAAACGTGGATGTCCCCCACATCAACATCACAAAGTTAAAGTCCCATCATCCCACTCTCTCAACGCCCATCATCACACACAATTCTCTCAAAGCCCATCATCACAAAATTCCAGATGCATAGAATACGACAAAAATTTATGTTTGCAAATCCACAATGGACCAGATACATCCGCAACACTCGGACAATCCTTGTCAAGCCAGAGACTGGAGGGGTTATCCAGAAGGGTATGTATCTTGTCCAGAGACGAGTCCAGGTGCATAGCCAGGTACTGCAAACAGAACAAAATGCAATTGATTTCTCTGGGGACTACTACC